GGGGGACAGGTGGCAGTGGATAAACTGTATGCCTCCCCTACCATCTCCACACTACCCCAACCACCTGCTCCCCTACTCCCTGTCCCCTCCTGTTCTCTCCACTGCCTGCCCCCTTACTGTCTCCCAAAATACCACCCCCATTGCCTGCAGTAGTGAGGGGGGGCAGAGAAATTTAAGATGTTCCTCCAATAATTAGATTCTATACATAGGAAATTATAATAACTGTATACATTTTCCATGTATAGAATGTAATTATTGGGGCAGTGTCTTAGATTTGGGTAAATGTGGTACATGGTACATGAACAAGTACCACATGTAAGCTGCTCTGAAGCAAGTCCCCATTTTTTTGTTAACCTGTTTTAATCTAATATTTTTTCCATATCCTGGAGTAGTGCTGGCTAGAATTTGGATCTCCTTAAATAGCAGCTGTGGAATGGACCCTCCAGAGTGGAAGAACCATGCTACTTAACCATTTTTTTCAGCTAGTGGGTCTACAGTTTGCTGGAACTTCACCATATGCTTCTGTGCAAATCCAGCAGTAATCTATTATCCAGAAACTAAGTTAAACATTATTTTTAACAACTAAAATGGGAGAGTAGCAGGGGAAATATGGAGTGCAAAATAACAAAAACTCCTCTATTTAAAGTACCAAGTATATTTTGTACACAAAACTAATAGCAGTAAAATAGATGTATTTATTTCCATACACACTTATACATATAAATATGTAAATATATTTAGATATATTTATAAAAACAAAAACTGAATTCAGTGCAGCTTCCTGGTTGGTGTTTACAAGGATAAGAATGGAAAAGACATGGGACTAAACCGGGAGACCAAACTGAGAGAAATACTGCAAACAAGCAAGACCAGCTAAAAGAGTAGGGCAGGTTCAGACTTACTGATGTAAGTTATAATTGTATAAACACCTTTTGAAAGCAGAAAGACAGCCATTTTATGGGGTTGAATCAGTTTTTCTACAGATTTTCTTATAGCACAAAAAGTGTGCCGAGACCAAACCTTGTTATACAAGTAGCCAACAACAATCTTCACTTCTTTAAGCTGCATATCGCTTCCATTATAAAATAATTTTACAAACATTTTTTGAGAATTTCAAATATTTCCACTCCGCTCTGGTCAAAACAGAAAACAATTAAAAATAACCCTTTCCATTTCGTCTCTGGAGTTCTCAAGAAAAATCTGGAAGCCTGCTCAAATAATGCCCAGAATGTTCGCGTTTAGTTAACTGGCACCAACCTACCACGGTTTTTTAGCCATGTGCGCTGAACACAGACTGCTTGGAAACTCTTGGAGCAACTGCAGTATTGAGGAAAATGGGAAACACAACTGAGCTAAGTCAGGCTACACTTCAAAACACTTCAGGGACCTTCAGTATGCCTTTTCCCAATTCTTGTCAAATGTAGCAGCGGCTATCCCTACTCTCAGAGAGGTAGAAAGAGAAAGAGTTAGCAGGTCAAGTCAGGCTTCCCCCAATAAATCACCTGGACCCAGTCATGATCCCAGCAGCCCTGTCATTTTGAGTACTGCAGGGAAAGAAGTCTTCCACTTTATGGGAAGGAGAAATAAAGGGAAAAAAAGGGCCAGGCTTCTCCACTGGACCTAGGGGAGATCCTAGAAAGGCAGATGGGCTGCTGCTATAACAACCTTCTCCTGACAAGAACTGATGTAGTCCTGTAATTACTGCAATGGAAATCTGTGCTGTAATACCAAAAATTTAGGTAATCAAACCCTACTTACAATGCATAATGCTTATTACAGTGGCAATTAATAGAATTTCTTTTTACCCTTCATTAAAAAATAACCTAGGAAATTATAGGCAAAACTTATGGGCAAAAGAACAATATTTAGGTTGCAAAGTCAAGCACTCAAAAGCTAAAAAAATGTCAAATTTCACAGTTGCTGGTCCAACCTTAATACTGGTCCATTGTGACTCAGTCTTTAAGTACATACTATTAGAAGCCGTATCTCAGGGGTTTCCAAACTGTGGTGCACATACCCCTGAGGACACACAAAACATCTCTGGGGTGTACACAGGAGAAATATAAAGCATATGTTGATACGGGTACGTGGGCAGCTGATAAATTTGGAAGGGGGTATGCAAAAAGAAAAAGTTTGGGAACCTCTGCTCCTTCTCTTGTTGAGAGCACAAACTAGAAACAAAGGAGAATAATTTAAGTTGTACAAACAGTTCTTCATTTTTGAGCATTTGCCTTTGGAAACTAAATACTGTTCTTTTACATTTTTTTTATAAATATTATACAAAATCAAAATGTACCAAATTACCCCCCTCGAAATGAGCTCCCTCATATTCAACATCTCAAATTATAAATGCTCACGTGTATGATAAAAAAAATGAACACTTTGCAAAACAATATATTAACTACACAAAGGTAACGGCATTGCTAGAAACTGAAAGTGTCTTCTACTTCCTTTTTACTATAACTTCCTGTCCACAAGTTTAAAGATTAACGCTAATGTTTCTTGCAAAGCTGCAGCCCATTTTTTAAATGGAACAAGCATATGTTCACTCTCTGCCCTTGTCCACAGCAATATGCGTGTAGGCAGTACTGTCAATCTGTCCATTCTTCAATAGGGACTGTAGAAGTACTTGGCCATCATTTTAACAACAGGGACTGGTTGTGTGTACACCCAAATATTTTTAACTTTTTCAACTGGGCTTAATGGTGTGTGTAACAAAGTACTTACCAGACAATTTCTATTCTGTCATACTAGCAACTGTATATTTGAACCTGGTCTGGGCACTGGAGGAGAGGAGAGACTTCCAAGAAAACTGTTATAGATCTTCAACTAGACAATCAATGGCTTTCAGCAGCCAGGCATTAGTTTAAAGCTGCAACAGGTAATCATTGGCGTTGTCCTCCCTACTTTCTTCTCTTTCCCCCATACTTCTCTTGCCTGCAGGAAGGTTTCTGATGCAGAAGACAAGAGAGCTTCCTTTCCCAGTTCCAGATGAGTGAAGATTTCCCCCAGTCTCTCCAAGGAAACCTCAAACAAACCTTGGGAAGACCTTTGAGAAAATTATCAAGGAGCATATCTGCAAGGGCCCAGTAGGGGAGGTAATGCTCACGGCTCGGTCCTGGGGCCTGTACTGTTCAACACTTTATCAGCAATCTGATGCGGGTGTGGAAAACACTGTCCAAATTTGCTGACGACACCAAGATGTGGGGCGAGGTGGGCATGCTGGAGAGGAGGGACAGAATCCAGCTAGATCTAGACAGGTTACAGAAGTGGGCGGATGATAATAGGATGGAATTCAACACAGACAAGTGCAAGGTGCTGCATCTAGGGAGAAGGAACCAGCAACACACCTATAGGCTGGGGAACACCCTTCTTGTCAACACGGCGGCAGAAAGGGATCTTGGAGTCATTGTTGACTCCAGGATGAACATGAGCTGCCAATGCAAGGAAGTGGTCAGTAAGGCTAACCGCACCTTGTTGTGTATCCACAGATGCATCACAAGCAGGTCCAGGGACGTGATCCTTCCCCTTTATGCGGCATTGGTCAGGCCACAGTTGGAGTACTGCATCCAGTTCTGGGTGCTGCACTTCAAGAGGAATGTGGCTAGCACTGAGAGGTTCCAGAGGAGGGCCACTTGCACGGTCAAGGGGTAGCGGGGCAGGCCCTACAAGGACAGGCTAAGGGGCCTAAACCTGTTCAGCCTCCACAAGAGAAGGCTGAGAGGAGACCTGGTGACTGTTTACAAACTCACCAGGGGGGACCAGCGAGAATTGGGGGAGACTGTTCCCCCGGGCACCATCTGGGGTTACTAGGAATAATGGCCACAAATTGTTAGAGAGAAGGTTCAGGCTGAAAATCAAGAGACATTACTTTACAGTTAGGGCTGCCAGGCTCTAGAATGGGCTCCGAAGTGAGGTCCTGCCTTGCGGGGTCCTGAGAAGGCTGGACAGATATTTGGCTGGGGTGATATGACCCCAGCACCTGTTCCTGCCCGGGGCAGGGGGTTGGACCTGATGAAGCATTTAGGTCCCTCCCGATCCTAAGAACTATGGTACTATGAAAGCAAATCTGGTGGCCTGGAGACTGGCTCAATGAAAAGTAAGAGACAAAGTCAAAGTCAACTGGATAGCTAAATGGTGTTTGATATAACCTACCATAATGACATTCCTCCTCTTTCCCAGGCATACTGTTTTACTATACTGACTTTGACAAAGATTTTTCTTTTTTTCTTTTTTAAAAAGAGAAGGAAAAAGCTGGATATACCAAATCCATTTTTCTATTAGTAGTAGTAGTAGTAGTAGTAGTAGTAGTAGTAGTATTGGCCCTTCCATGTCCTATTTATATTACAGTGGATGATTAGGAAATACTGATTCATTGTGATGAGGTTTGAAAGCAAACTAAACATAAAATATCAGAGCAAGCATGGCTTTCACTTACGTGAGGTTAATTCTGGATTTCCTTTCAAATGCATCATCCTTGGAATTGAAGGGCCATATACATCTGCATCAAGCAAACCAACTGATTTTGTCTGCAGGAGAAGAAAACATATCTGATGGTCAAAACATCTTCCTTGCTTCAAGAAAGGTCTGTCCAGCAGAGATTCAAAGCTCAAATGTAGAAATAAATATAACAAACTACTTAACAGCCAAGATTTACTTCATAAAACTTGGGTAACTGAGTGGTAAGTATGTAATTTTATATTTAATACCCACCATTATTAGAGAACGTGGGCAGAACCTTTGTCCCACCAAGGCAATCCCAGAGGCCCATAGTACAATTTTGTTTTTGCATATACTATGCCCACAAATATAACAGGCACCCTATTTTTGCAAGGCCCTAAGAAGGAAAAAAAGTCTTACCATGGAGCATGGTTAAATACTGATTATCTGTCATCTCTGGTGCTTGGGGCCACAGGCTGGGGGCCACATGTTGGGGTGGGGGGCTTGGGAGCTGGGGGGGGACATGTGCCAGGGCTGGGGGCCACACCTGGCCCTAACCCTGCACAGTGGGACCCAATCTGGCCACAGCAACACAAGAACTGCACAGCAGAACCCTGAAGCTGGAACTACACATTATCCCTGGAGCTTCATGCCAAATCTCACCCAGCACACAGCCCTAGAGCCAGTGTACAGTCCCAGAGTTGATGCACCAGGTCCAACAGCACATGGCCATGGAGCAGTAGTGCGGTTTTCTGCCACAGGCCAATCACATACATCAGTTTGATCTGGTGCATGGTTGGGGAGGAAGACTCCTCATGGGTCTGGACATTGGGCAGCAGGGGGATGGGGAAGAGCAGCGCAGAATTAACATATACCATAAGCTCTATTATCCAGCATGAATGGGGAATGGGGGGTGCCAGTAATCTAAAAATGCTGATTACCCAAGGCAGGGGTTTTTGGCCGGACGCAGCGTGAGGGTGGAGGGGTGGCAGTAGTGGAGGGAAAAGAAGAGGCACTAGGATGCCGGGGTAGCAAGCAGAAAACAAAGGTGGCAAGGGGCAGGCACAAACAGGGGGCAAGCTGATTTACCTCTCCACACCACCTGCCTCCACGCTGCCTGACTCCCTGCAATGGTGTAGGAGATGAATTAAAGATGACCTTCTAATAATGAAATTTTATACATGAAAAATTATAACACTTTTTCCATGTACTGAGTCTAGTAATTTGGAAGGGGGGGGGAGGGGGTTAAGTTCAGATTCGTCTTTGATTCGAGTAAAGATGGTAATTCTATGGCTCCCAGAGCCACAGTAATTAATGCTGCTACTGCTCTTGGTTTATGTGAGAAAATATGGTAACTATTTAAATAAAACACTTTATTACATTTTTTTAAAAAGGATTTGAAAAGCAAAACAGCAATTCCTGTGTCCTCACTGTGGGTTTTCATTTAATTACTCTGCACATGCATCTGCAATCTAGTTTCTCACTTGCAAACAGGCTGACAGCTAATTTCCAAGCAGAATGGATCTCACTAATTGTGGCTCTCAATGGGGAAGTTTATTGGTGGACGCTTGAAAGGTAAAGCTTGAGTTGTACACCCATGTAGTATGCTGTATATCAAGGTAGCCAAGACTTGTCATTGTTATAACAGTTCAGAAGGATAGCAGTTGTTCATTTTATTCTTTTCCTAAGTCCACAGTATGTAAACCAAGTACATCAAAAAGTATTGTAAATGAAAAATAAAAATGTGTTACTTCTGTTTAAAGATCACAATCATGATTTAAGGTAACTCAATTGGCATCATAAACTCACCCTGGTATGTGGCTAGCCAAAATTCTGTTCTCTTTTCTTTAACATTTCTAAGTATTTGCAGACTGAGAGTTTGCACAGGATTTATAATGACACTGATGAAAGCTTTAGACTTCATTTAGATATTTTTGTTTCTCTATAATTTATAAGATCCTGTGAAAGCTATAAAATGTACTGCAGTTACTCTGATAGATTATTCCATTTCTTGCCTAACATATGAAAGCTGCAATTTAGGAAGATCGGAAAGCCCCAATTTTGTGTTAGATTTCAAAAGGCATCAACAACAGTTTTAGAGGTTCTTTGTTTTGTGATAAAATGCATGTTTTAACAAATTATAAAGATTCATGACTCAGTCCTTTTATCCATGTCAGCAGCTAATCGAACCCATCAAAACATCATCTTAGGGCTGTGCCACATAATTACTTCTAAAATCAAAGTAAATATTTGCAGAAGAACCTATTTAAAACCTGATTGACTATTTTAAACCTAACTAACATTTTTTTCTGTTAGGTTTATTTGTACAAACCTTTGTTGTATTTTTTGCAACAAAGTCCACTAATGCCCAGTGATGTACTAGAATCAGCTTTGAGAGTTCCTTCTTATAGTTTAGCCATTATGCTGAAGGAAATGAAGGTTTAAGATGATTTTCATGGCCTCTGATTGAGTTACACTGCCAAATTATCCCTGCCAAACGTAACTTATTCCTAGGACTTAAAAATACTAATGTACATCAAATGCTGTGTCTGTGGAGCGCATCATGTTCCAAATATAAAAAATAAAATAAGTGTCCTGGGGAAATAATACTCTTCAATCACCACAAGAGTCTTTGGAGTCCCAAATCTCATTCCTCTTTCATACTACAAAACTGATCATGGTTCTAAGACAGCATAATACACTTAGGCTATTTTTCTGAATCAAAAAAGAATAATATAACATTTGTTTTGAGATATTTTGCTTCTGTCCTTGGTTATGGACAAAATTAAATTTTTTGTTTTTCAGAACCAAAAAAAAAAAGCCCTGTGTGTTGTCCAGGACTAGGGACAGATATTACACATAAATCAGTTTAAGTGATCAGTGATTTAAACCTGTAGCAGAAAAGATATTCAGTGCACATAAACCAGTTTGAAAATGGCTGAAACCAGTTTGAGATAAAACTGGTTGAACGTAGTACCAGATATCATTCCGGTTTATGCAATGCCTGTCCCAGACCCCTTGCTGGTTTAAGTTAAATCAGACTCCCCCAGGATCCCGGCATGCTCTCTGGTTGGAGCTCGGCACCGACTGCAAGCTTCCCCGCTCCATCTCTCCCCTCCCCATCCCCTCTGCCTTACACAGACACACAGTATTAGCTAGCAGACCACATTCTGGCTATGGTCCGTGCTGTGGTGCTGTGGCAGACCGGACAAAGGCAGAATCAACAGGTAGCTGGTAACATCCCTCTGTTGTTTTCTTAATGGGGTGATAAACACTGAGTTAGGCGTGATAAACACTGCGTTATCAATTCCCTGCTGGGCTGGTCAAAAGGGGGTGGACCCCTCCCAAATCAAAGCGTCTTGCCAGGGCCCTGCCACGCCTCCCTCAGCTCAGCACTGTGTGGAAGGGAAGGGAAGGCTGCTCTAGAGCCCCCAACTCTTCACTTAGGGCATGCAAGTATCCCTGGTATACTACCATTAATCCTGTATTCTAATTTAATTACACTGGCAGAGGCTTACTGTAGCTACTAAAGAATCTTGTGAGTTGGCACAAGCTGAATCATCCTTTCCAATATTTTCACAATGCTCAAAACCCCAAAGAGAAGACATTCCAAGGATATACTTGAATTCTGGTATATTTCAGGCTGCTAACTAAAATGATCAATCCAGCATATTTTAGCTGCTGACCTACTCCTGCATATTTTAGCTGTTAATCTACTCCTGGCCTAAAAGTGGTTTTATAACTGGAATTTTCTTGCACTAAGTATTCAAAGCAAAACACACAAACAACTTGCACAACCCCCACTGCTTCTAAGTCTTTTCATAACACACCAAATTCTGCAGCTATATCCACCTCCCATGTTCGCTATTTTTTTAATCTTCTAAGTAGACCTTCAATTTGTAAAAAACAGAGTACAGGTAAAAATAACTCTGCTATTCTCTTCTGAGTGCTACATTCTCCCCTTGTAAATGTAATGTAATCACAATATTTCTATTAATAAATTCAGAACACTCATTTGACTTATTAGCAGTAATCCACAAATTCCACAAGCTTGTAACAATTGTTCTCAAGTAAGTCTTTCATGAGTTCTGCTACTGACAAGGGAATCATCCAGTTTCCTTCTGTTTCTTTCATGTCTCTTGCGCACACATTTTTGCTCTCCAACATAATGGAATTTAAACTGTTTAGATCTGACTTATTAGATAATAGTTTCTATTTGATAAATTATGTAAATCCAAGTAATTAGATATACAGCACATTTAGAAAAAAAATCTACTATACAAACATACTGTATTTACTTGATTCCAAGTCGAGGTTTCTTTCCATACTACAGGCATGAGGGGGAAAGCCCCCCTACCCCAGTCTTATAATCACATACAAAGAAATCTTACTAAATATACTAACTAGCATTAAACTTCTGCCAAAAAGCAGCATGTGTTTAGCAATGGAAACCAGCTATGAAGTTGATTAAATGCAGCCAACACTGGGCATGACTATAAAATATTTAGCCCATATTGGGCAAGCATGCTGATTGAAACCTACTACAAGGATAGGTTAATGCAGCCCATCTGAACAAGATATATAGTAGTGCCCATTAAGCACAGCCCCCTCATTCCCAACTCTTCTTGCAAGCCATGGTGAGCCATGACACTGCATACCCAGAATCCCTCTGTTGCCCCTTCTCTCAGCCTGGCACATATGATTAGTGTAGCCCTGTCCACCCGGAGGTGAAGCCATACCAGGTTGCCCTGCACCTTATCTGCACATACATTTTTGGTGCATCCTAGGACTTGTGTCAAGAACACTTGGTTCTAGCCACGAGTGAGGGCTAATTAGCACATGAATCCTTTATGGTTGGTATATGAAGTACACACACATACCGAGTAGTGTTGAACTGAGGGGTCGCAATGGAGGTCGGGGCCACACTAATAATATGCGTCAGGCTGAGAGACGTCGCAACAGAGGCATTCTGGGTAGAAGCCTCCAGCCTTTCCCCTGTGTTCTGCTGGAACCCTGCTAAGATTGGGCAGGGCATAAACTTGTATGCTTCCCTGCACCTAAGTACTGGAGTGTGATTCAGGCAAGGAAC